TGTGTAGACAGCCGAGCTATCAACAAAATCACTATCCGCTACAGATTTCCGATCCCGCGGTTGGATGATCTCCTGGATCAGATAGGCACTGCTTGTGTATTTTCGAAACTGGACTTAAAAAGTGGGTACCACCAGATTCGCATTCGCCCAGGCGATGAATGGAAGACGGCGTTCAAGACGCGTGAAGGACTTTTCGAGTGGCTGGTGATGCCCTTTGGATTGTCCAATGCTCCCAGCACCTTTATGAGGATCATGAATCAAGCTCTCAGACCTTTCATTGGGAAATTTGTTGTCGTTTATTTCGACGATATACTGGTATTTAGTCCTTCTTTGGAGGCGCATTTGGACCACCTGCGACAAGTTCTTGTGGTGCTTAGGCGTGAGCAGTTCTTCGTAGCGCGTCAGAAGTGTGAATGGGGCACGACAAAGGTCCTCTTTTTGGGTTATGTGGTGTCCGACAAAGGGCTGTCGATGGACATGAGTAAGGTTGAGGCAATCCGCGCCTGGCCTACACCTAAGTCTATTTCGGAGGTTCGCAGTTTTCATGGCCTTGCATCATTCTACAGGCGCTTTGTAGCTCACTTCAGCACCATAATGGCACCAATTACGGAGTGTATGAAGGGAGCTTCTTTCACGTGGAGCACTGAGGCAACAGACGCATTTGAGTTGATCAAGCTGAAGCTAACCACGGCACCAGTTCTTGTTCTTCCAGACTTTTCCCTTACTTTTGAACTCCACAGTGATGCGTCGAAGCTGGGGATAGGGGCTGTCTTGAGTCAGAACTCGCGCCCTGTTGCATTTTACAGTGAGAAGTTGTCAGGCGCACGGAGCAGGTACAGCACTTATGACGTGGAGTTCTATGCGGTGGTTCAGTCAGTTCGCCACTGGAGACATTACCTGGTTCATCGTGATTTCATTTTGTTCACTGATCATGACGCCCTGAAGCACCTCGATAGTCAAGTGAAGGTCTCCGCTAGACATGCCAGTTGGATTGCGTATCTGCAGCAGTTCACATTCACTATTCGTCACAAGTCAGGCAAGCTGAATCGTGTAGCTGATGCGCTTAGTCGTCGCCATAGCCTGTTAACGACTCTCCATACATCGGTGACAGGATTTGCCACATTCTCTGACTTATACGAATCCGATCCCTATTTTGGGAAAATCTGGGTGGAAGTTCGCGACAACTTGAGGGACGACTTTTCCTTGATCGATGGCTTTCTATTTCGTGGCACACAACTTTGCGTCCCAGATTGTAGCTTGAGACTACGATTCATTGATGAACTTCACAAGGAAGGTCATGTGGGCCGCGACCGTACCCTGCAGCTTGTGTCGTCATCTTATTTCTGGCCTTCTTTGAGGAAGGATGTGGAGCGTTATGTGGAGAGATGTCGCCAATGTCAGTTAGCTAAGGGTCACGCATCGAATGCCGGTCTGTATTTACCTCTGCCTATACCAACGCAGCCATGGACGGACTTGAGCATGGACTTTGTCTTAGGTCTTCCTCGCACACAGAGAGGTAATGACTCGATCTTTGTAGTGGTGGATCGTTTTTCAAAAATGGTACACTTCATCCCATGTAAGCGTACTACGGATGCTGTTCGCGTGGCTCAGCTATTTTTCAGTGAAGTGTTTCGTCTTCATGGCCTCCCTTCATCCATTGTGTCTGATCGCGACACAAGATTCTTGAGTCATTTTTGGAGATCTTTGTGGAAACTCTTGCGTACGAGTTTAGATATGAGTACTGCATACCACCCTCAATCTGATGGCCAGACAGAGGTAGTTAACCGTTCCCTTGGTAATATGTTGCGCGCCCTGGTCGGAGACAACATTCGCGCATGGGAGACTCGGTTGTGTCAGGCTGAGTTTGCGCACAATCATGCGGTTAATAGGAGTTCTGGTTTCAGTCCATTTCAGGTTGTGTATGGAATGGTGCCCCGTTGTCCTTTGGATCTTGCCCCTTTGCCGGATCGCACTCGTTTGCATGGGAAAGCTGCGGAGTTCGTCTCGGCTCTTCAAGAGGTGCACAAACAAGTCTCTCGTAATCTTGAGGACTCGGCTCAGAAGTACAAGATGAAGGCTGATACGAAGAGAAGAGAGTTGCTGTTTGGACCAGGGGATATGGTGTGGGTCGTTTTAACAAGAGATCGCCTCCCTGCCCATGAGTACAACAAGCTCCATTCACGTAAGATAGGACCCGTTAAAGTGTTGGAGCGCATCAACGATAACGCTTACCGCGTTGAATTACCTCCTCTCATATCAAGACTGCAAATGTGTTTAATGTGAAGTTTCTGTCCAAGTTTCACGGCGACAACAACACTCAAGATTCAGAGGCGAATCTTCTCTTACCCGGGGAGACCTGATGCAGCGCATCATTAGCTTCATAGGCCTCTGTTTTGGACCCATGAAACAGAGCTTGGAGTGTTTACGTTTTAGTTGGGCTTTTAGTGTTATTTATGATTTTATTTCTTATTCTAGATAATCATGAGTTAGGGGATAAGTAGAGATTTTTAGTTAAAGATTACCAACAATACGACACATATTTTTGTCGTTCGCAGCTTTGTTACAAGTCACTTTATTATTGAATCAAAACAGAGCTTTCAGGCTTTCTCTTTGCTTGTTCTTCGGCATTCATCAGTGAATCAACGAAAACAAGAACCAAATCGACTTTCGGGTATTCTTCGACTAAACGAAACTCGTTTTGAAAACTTACGCTGCGCCAAAAATGGAGTTTGGAGTGGGTTTTGAAGTGGGGTTGGAGATGCTCTAAGAAAAAGGAGATAGAAAATCAATACTTGTAGAAAAGTAAAACAAGAAGAAAGGTGACGTTTGTAATGACATATATGTATGTGTCTAAAGTCTCCATTGATTATTCAAGGTCACCTGAATGGCTTAATCTAATCATTTTCTTTTTAAAGCAAGAAGACTGAATCTAATCATATTTCTCATTCTGATAATAAGTCGTATCTGATTAATTTGATTTAAATCTTTTTGATCAATAATATATTCTTGTTGCTTTTATTTCCAGTCTTAGTAGTATATCATACTAGTGACCAGTGATTAGAGATATACTACGACCTTTTACACGCTTCATCAGTATTTTTTTTTTTTTTGAAAAAACAGTATTTAATTCACGTAAGAATATATTCTTTTTATATGATTTATGGCACAAACATGAAAAGCTAGTTCACAAAAAGTACAAGGGTTAGAAAGACACCATTATTATGGTTGCATATATTCACTAGTCAATTGTAGAAATTCCAAGTTGTAAGGATAATCAACTGACTGGTTATTAAACTAGTTAAAAGTTATAGAGAAACGTTATATTATCATTATTGTGAATTGCCTCTAAATGATGTTTTGACACATGGTATAATGTGACAAAATATTGGTGGTATAATCCACATTCTGTAAACCGACGAGTTAAATATCTTATCTAGGTGGAATTTAAGGGTCTTTGACATCAGAAAACAACAAACAAATCAAAATCACATCCTAATCTTTCCTTTTCATAGCCCCTAACCACACATACATTATTTGGTTTTCAGTTCAACTTCAACCGTTCAAATGAAAGTGGCTCTTCAGTTTCTTGAAACACACAAAATCTCTACATTACTGTTTAGTTGGTTCTCATAGAATATTGAAAAAAATGCCGAATATACTCTAGGATATCTATGGTCGCTAACAACAGTAACAAGAATCTGAGTTTATATCTGTGGACAACAAACAATGTACCATATAAACTTTGAGTAATCCACATTTCTGTGAACCAGTGAGTTAAATAAGTAAACTATCTTATCTAGTTGGAAATTTAGGGGTCTTTGAACAACAAGGAGAAATCAAAATCATCTCCCCACTATTTCCTATTCATTGTCTCCCATAATACATTATCAAGTTTTGAAAAATATGACTATTACCCAATGCAATATTAACTGCGATTTTGTTATCTTCAAGCTTGACTTCCACGTCAACACCATAGTCGTCTAAAATATGATCTAAGCTTGATCCTAGTTTGTTGCTTTAGTGCCATCTGCTAGCAGAAACAGCATCACCTTTTAAGGACACTGAATCTCTACAGAAAGCCTTAAAACATAGTCTCCGATGTGCCAAATTTAATCCGTTCGAGTAAAAGAGATACATCTAACATAAAAAGAAATAAAAGAAGATGCAACCAACAACTAACAGACAAGGACAAAAGATCTTCAGAATAATCCCATTCCCATTTAAAGATTCTCATGGAATAACGCTGTGTGGCTATGCACGTTTTGATCAAAACACAACACACGCATGTCGTTCCGACTGGGATACTAGGATAATGGTAAAGAAGATCTATTATTGCCTTATTCACCAACACGCTAACTTAAAGGCCTGTCTCACCATGAAACAAACCAAAAAGAGAAGTGTTTTAAGTTTCAGTACGTAGCTTTTCTAAGAGTAAGAGTAAAGAAATTAAGCAATCTATTTCACAAGGGACGAGATATTTTGGACAAGTTCTATATATATATATATATATATATATATATATTTTTGAGCTATCGTAGTCTGTTCTGACAGTACAAATTATACCTTATCTGCACCGGTTGAAGAAGAACTCGATACCTGAATTCAGAATGATTGTTCACAACAGAAGACAAATACCTCAAGTTCAGGCTGAATTGGGAAGTTAAGTCAGTTTGATCTACCACAAAAGGATGGCAAAGAATCAAATGATACCAAAAAACATGTTACAAAGAAAACACTAGAAATTCTGAGGCTGGCAAAATAAAAGAGCATACCTTATATTCCTCAGCGACAGAGTCCTCACAACCTTCAAGCATAAAAACTTCGTAGAGGAACTGAAACCACCATGGATAGAAGATGGAAACAACGAGAACACAGAGACCATCTGTGTAGAATGATAGAATCCTCAAAAATCCTTATCCAAATGCAAAACATTTTCCAGTTTTTATATACACTTCATTTGCTTATCTATTTTTTTGTTTGTGTTTTGCTGCCAAATAGAAATATTCTTTGTACCAAATGGAGTTAAAAGGTGTAATCCTACATAACATAACGCAGCCATATGCCCAAGTCGGACTCGGTTTACAGATGACATATCATGGAGAAACTTGTTGTCATCGCTCTTTAGCTACAAAAAATAAATGGCTCAGATTAGTCCTTGTAGAACATTAAGGACTCCCTCAAGTGCCGACATTAGGAGCACGAGTCGACAATGGTTGTCCATACGAGTATCTCCACTGACCACAAGCCTCACATTTCTCCTGCTTCACCTCGTTTTCAAGCGTGCAGAACTTGCAAGACCAAACTTTATGCTTCATCTCTTTTTCCTTTGGCTTTGCTGCAGTGCATAGCTCGCATATTGGAGCCAACAACTGCTCCAAGAAAACAAGACACAAAAATGAAGTGAAAGGAATAGATAGCATGAAGTTTCAATTCGAGAAACATACAAGCTAAGAGGAAGTAATATTAACAAGACTCACCGGGTTCAGTAAGGTGCATTCTGCACACTCCCACATTGCAGTTTCTTCTCTGCCTTGGTTTGCATTGTAACCAGTCGATGGTGAAGTTTCTGATGATTCCATGACACCAGATATCGGTTCATCTCTGGAGGAACACGAAGGACCTTGATCGCCAGGGTTGCAACTTCTTTTAATACATCTACTTTCAGAGGCATCATCATCTGTTAAATCAATGACATATGATCCACACTGATGACTTGAAGATGAATTGGTGGCATTTGAGCAGCTACTGCTTCTTTTTGCTGACCTTACCGGAACGGGTTCCGCACATGCGTCATTATCATTTTCTTGGTCTTCAAAAGCCTCTGTGGATTGGGAACCACACCAGATGTCATCAAGTAAACGCCTTTCAGCAGCCATTGCAGCAGCCTGGACTGGGGTAAGATCTGACATGATGCTGCTGTCACCACCAAGACGGTGAGGTCCTGAGGGTAACAGATTGCCTGCACGAACTCTTTTCTCTGCTGCTTTAGCTGCCGTTGCCCGAAGAGAAGAGATGGGAGGCTGACGAGAAAAGCCACCCAAACGCTTGCCAGGAACATCAAAGCCCTGGCCTGTCCCTGTGATACCCTTTGACATCAACTCCTCACATTCCTGAGACAATTTTGGTAAATGCAGGCAGATGTGATAAGAAACATTTCAACCAATTTTTGAATTTATCTAAAAATAAGCCACAGCGGCAGCTATCAGGAGTTTCTGAACAAGAGAACATCCTAGGTACGATCACAGACAGCTCTTTACAAAAACATCAGATAAGTACCTTACGAAGTTCATCCCAGAGTTTATAGAAAGAGGCGTTGTGAGGACCATGGGCGTTGTGGCAAAGCTCGTGGAGCATAGTGTCAAGAACTTCGTGATAGGATAAGAAATCTGCATCATGGTTTACCCTCCGGAGCCTTAATTTCACATGAACGCCTCTATTAACATTCACTCCCAAAAGCCTTGGATTTGTTGGGCTGCAAAAAATCATCAACAACCACAAATATCATATTAATAATTAAACCCTAATTCTTGAATAAATATTAAAAAATAAAAAAAGTTTACCAGAATTCAGAGAGAAGCTTGACACGCCATTTGCGACGAGTCATAATAGGTTGAACCTGATTCGCCACTTTCTCCAGAATCTTTCTCGCTTCTTCTTCCTTTGGTTTCTTCTTCAACGCTTTAATTTCCCACACCTTGTTCAAATCTCCCAAATTCATCCCCGCCCTAATCGGAAACAGGACTAAAAGTTAATTTGAAATGCGAAGCCTAACCTGATTTTGATCGAGAGTGGCGGGACAAGAGACACAGAACGCCACCATTATTCTTCATGGAAACACAGACACACAAATAAATGGGCTCATTATAAGCCCATATCGAACCAAGCCCCTTCATTGGAGCCATTTGCACGTGTCTCCTGTGTTGGTAAAATTGAAAAATTGTAGGATGCTGAGTGTGAGTAAATGGCAGTCTTGACCTCACTCACTCGTTTCCCTTCTTCTTCTACCTTGTTGTCCTCTAACGCTCGCCATCTCTTCCTCCTTTATCCATCTTCTTCTTCCATCATCAAAAAAAGATTCAATCTCTTCTCCGTCGCATCCATGTCGTCTTCTTCTCCTTCCCCTCCTCCTCAAGAGAAAATCACAGCTCCTTATGGCTCCTGGAAGTCCCCGATCACCGCCGACATCGTTTCCGGTGCTTCAAAGCGTCTCGGCGGCACCGCCGTCGATTCCCGCGGACGTCTCGTCTGGCTCGAGTCTCGCCCCAATGAATCCGGGTACTTGAGATTTCAGATTTTTTCTTTTTTTTTTTTTAAAAAAAAGAAAAAACTAAAACCCTAAGTTGGGATTATTCTCTGATGATTGATTGGTTGAAGGAGAGGGGTTTTGGTAATGGAAGGAGAAAAAGATATCACACCAAAAGAGTTTGCAGTGAGGACTTTAACTCAAGAGTATGGTGGTGGTGCTTTCCGCCTTTCCTCATCAGACGATCAACTCGTTTTCTCCAATTACAAAGATCAGCGACTTTACAACCAACATCTTCTTCACAATGGTGCAAGAAGAACCTCTCTCTCTTCTTCTTCTTCTTCCCATTATAGATTTGGCAAGTTCTCATCATGTTTGTTTCAGATTCATCTCCCAAACCAATCACCCCTGATTATGGTGCTCCAACTGTTACTTATGCTGACGGAGTCTTTGATTCACGCTTTAACCGCTATCTTACTGTTAGGGAAGGTTCGTTGCTCTCTAATAATGCTTAACTGTTTTTATTTTCCAAGTGATTTATAACTCATCTGATTGGCTGCTCTTTGTAGATGGTCGCCAGGACAGATCAAACCCTATTACAACCATTGTGGAGGTCAATCTAAGTGGAGGAGGAGGAGACACACTTGAAGGTACTAATCAACTTTGTAGTTCATATGGGATGTGGATTATGTTTCCAACTTCTTCTTCTTTTTTTTTTTTATTTTTGGATCATTATTGACACTTTTGCATGTATTTCTTTTTTGATATTCCAGAACCAACAGTTCTTGTGAGTGGCAATGATTTTTATGCGTTTCCACGATTGGACCCCAAGTGTGAGCGATTGGCATGGATTGAATGGAGTCACCCTAATATGCCTTGGGATAAAGCACAGCTCTGGGTTGGCTACATATCTGAGGCCGGGTCAGTCACCATCTCCCTGCTTTCTTTTTATCCCCCACTCCATATGGATTTACTCTAGAATTCTTAAGCGCTGCTGCTTTTATTGTACTCCTTTACGCTTGCATTGTATTATTAATCAGAGAGATCTATACCTTTTTTGCTTGCAGAACTATTGATAAACGTGTATGTGTTGCTGGTTGTGATCCCCAGTTTGTGGAATCTCCTACTGAGCCCAAGTGGTCACCAAGAGGTATTTGTCTGAGATGATGCTATGCAGAAAATGATATACGATTTCCATTTGTTTCTCATAAGTTTTAAGGCTAAATTAGGGTCTTTGACAATAAAAAGGATTTCTTTTTTTTTTCTCCGCTCTCTTGTCCTTTTCACTCGTTGCAATCATCTTACTTCTTCTAACCAATTTTCAAAGATTGTGACTTTTACTGAGCAAAGTTTGATCCGCAATATTCATGCATGTGATGTGAGACTCTCTTGACTTTATGTTGCAGGTGAACTCTTTTTTGTAACGGACAGAAAGAACGGATTCTGGAATATACATAAATGGGTAAAAAAATAACTCTTCTATTCCACTTATAGTTTCATTTAGTTTTCTAGTCTGGCCTTTGATCAATACCTGAAATTTTTGTCACAGATTGAAAGTACCAACGAGGTTGTTTCAGTATATCCTCTAGATGGTGAGTTTGCCAAACCATTATGGGTTTTCGGTACAAACTCCTACGAAATAATCGAATGCTCTGAAGAGAAGAACATAATTGCATGTAGCTACAGGTAAACCGAGCAAACCTAAAATTTAAGTACTTAACCGTTCTCTGGTAACAATTTATTGTTCCTGAATGCAGGCAGAAAGGAAAGTCATATCTTGGCATTTTGGATGATTCGAAGGGTTCATTTTCTCTGCTTGATATTCCTTTAACTGATTATGATAGCCTTGTAATATATCTGTTTCTTTTTTTCCTTTTCAAGTTTGTGCCTTTGATTCCCAATTGAATCCAAAATTGATGAAAAATTCTGCTTCCATTTTCAGACATTGGGTAATCAATGCCTTTATGTTGAGGGAGCATCAGCAGTTCTTCCACCATCAATTGCCAAGGTAAAAAATGATTCAAAGTGTAGGTTTTAATTGAGGATATATTGTGTCTGATGATAGCAGTAGATTTATAGTTTCTTCTATTAACAGGTAACACTGGATCAGCATAAGATGAAAGCACTCAGTTCTGAGATTGTTTGGTCTTCTTCCCCGGATGTTTTAAAGTACAAGGCTTTCTTCAGCGTGCCAGATTTGATTGAATTTCCAACAGAGGTTCCTGGTCAAAACGCTTATGCTTACTTTTATCCTCCAACCAATCCGCTCTACAATGCTAGCATGGAGGAGAAACCTCCATTGCTAGTGAAGAGTCACGGTATGCAAACATACCCCATTTGCTTAGTTCAGACTTGTTCATCCTAATATTGCAATCAGCTTTACATGCCTCTCTAATAAATAAAAAATTCAACGATCTGAATCTACAGGAGGCCCTACTGCTGAATCACGTGGATCTTTAAATCTGAATATTCAGTACTGGACAAGCCGAGGGTGGGCATTTGTTGATGTCAATTATGGTGGAAGCACAGGTTTGTACTACAGTTGTATCATATTTTGATTATATTCCGCTAGAATCATACTCTATTCCGTGAAGAATAGGAAGCATTACCTGTTTTATTATCACTATTACAATGAGGAATCGCTGACCAAAATTCAAGAGGAATATGAGACAGAACCAAGAACAACTTAGGTTTTGTTGTTAGAGAACCAAGAAATTCTCCAAAACCTCACAAGGCCCCAAACCAACTCCCAAATCACTCAACACTCTCCCACAAATCCACCCCTCTGTTATTTCTGTTGATCCAATTCACTAATACATACATATGCTGGGGTACTCTGATGTAACTCTTATCGTATTCTTGTCAAAGAAGATTGTCTTGAGACGTCCTGTTTTCAGAGTCCCATTCCTAGCATGTCTGCATACAAACGTTGGTCTATTGTGACAAAATGTTACATTATTTTGAAGGTTATGGTCGAGAGTATCGGGAGCGGTTGTTACGGAGGTGGGGGATTGTTGACGTGGATGACTGTTGTGGATGTGCTAAGTACTTGGTATGCATTTTCTTTGCCTGTTTTATGTTGAAACAAAAATTCCAAGACGTGTTTGGTTTTGGCAGGTATCTTCTGGAAAGGTAGATGTTAAGCGGCTCTGTATATCTGGAGGTTCTGCAGGAGGTTACACAACTCTTGCAGCATTGGCATTCAGAGATGTCTTCAAGGCAGGAGCCTCTTTATATGGGGTGAGTAGAGTACACTATATTATAATACCATAACAGGAATTTTACACTTGTCTCTTTAAATACATGGTGATTGGTGCTTGAAGATCTTATGAGCAGGTAGATAATTAATATTTTGCTTTGGCTTCTCTTTAATGCAGGTGGCTGACTTAAAAATGCTGAAAGAAGAAGGTCACAAGTTTGAATCCCGCTATATCGACAATCTTGTTGGTGAGTCAAGTGCCTCGAAGAGTTCATTTATATTTACTTTCATTTTGTTTTGGATCAGCTGCCATAATTCTCTAGTACGTACGCAAATGTAGGAGAAGAAAAGGATTTCTATGAGAGATCACCAATCAACTTCGTCGATAGGTTTTCTTGCCCCATCATCCTTTTCCAAGGATTGGAAGACAAGGTTTTTAGATTTGCCACTCTTGCTTTTTATTTTTTTCATCACTCGTGTGTGAAGATTGAATTCATGATCTTCTGGATTTTGTTCTCCATTTTGCTAAACACATCCCCTTGACTCCTGCTTTTATATTTTGGATACCATCTGTATTGAAATGCTGAATATGTGTTGCAGGTTGTAACCCCGGATCAATCTCGTAAAATCTATCAAGCACTAAAGGAAAAAGGTCTACCTGTTGCCCTTGTCGAGTACGAAGGAGAACAACACGGTTTTCGTAAGGTAAACAGCTTCTTTGATCACTTTGCATGTACAACGACGAGTCTTAAAGATATATTTATAGTAATAATGCAAAAGCGTACTTATAATTGGTTAACAGGCAGAGAACATCAAATACACACTGGAGCAACAAATGGTGTTCTTTGCCCGAGTCGTCGGAGGGTTCCAAGTTGCAGATGACATCAATCCTCTGAAAATTGACAACTTCGACACTTCCAGTGATGCTTAGATTTGTGTGTTTCTTTTACGTTTTGATCTTAGCACAATATCTGTTCGTCTCTTTCTTTGTTTTGTTTGTTGACCATCTCATCATCATAAAACATTCACAATTTCTACACAATATATTTTAAAACCACCTAAAAATTAAGATATCCGGTTTGGACACAAAAACTAAGATATCCAGTTTGTACACAAAATCACAAATTTATGTGGAGATGTATGTGTTTGCGATCATGGGAAAATGATGAGGAGTTGCTGCTTATTGTCGTGTCGGGTAAAGGTGTTGAAGGTATATGGGTATAAAGGAAGCTGTGGAGAATTGAATCAGATGAGACATTTCATCAATAATTTGAGGTTTCTCAAAGTGGTCAAAGTTAAGGTTCACGAGGAGCAAGATAACTACTTGTCGCTCACCAGTGACCTAACTAAGCTCCTCTCTACAGCTTCTTCCAAAGTGCAAGATCCAATTCATTTGATTCTCTTTCTTCACATTGTTTTAATTCATTTGAGCTAAAAAACTGTACTCTGATTCATATACAACACTTCTAAGCCTCCTGATCATGTTTGGTCAGCCAATCAAGGTCGCTCTTTGGGATCTCTTTAAGACCATCATGCACTCCCCTATTCAGGATCACATTGATTCTCCACAACACCATCCTGCTTTCCATTTTCATGGCTTTGATTGCATAGAGCCTAGAAAGCAGACCCTTGACGAATAAGTAGTCGCTCGTACTGTACCATTTCACCTGTTTCTTGACAACTTTTTCCAAATCTCTGAAAGCTCTCCTCACAACCCCAACTTCCCTTCCTCCTCTTTCCACAAGCTCCCTCACTGAACCTATCATCTTATATGTAATCTCCTTAACAGAATCAGCATGACTTGTGACCTCCACCAAGCGAATAGCTGCACAAAAAGCACCCACAAACGCCAAGACCCAGCAAGTATTATCTTCTACCAGAAGCAGTTGTATCGGTGGGTTTAGCCTTGTGTTAATCTCAGGGAGAAGATTATCAATCACAGGAATCAATATATCCATATCATCAAGCTCCATTGTAAGAGACTGGAAGATATAGACTGCTTTCTCGAACTGTGTTTTGCATTGTGATGCAATATAGTCCCATAGATGGAACCATGTGGTGTCTTCTTGGTTGCTTAACACTTCATTAGCAACGTGAAACACCACTTCACCTAGGAGTTTGAACATGCTGTCTGAGACTGAGAGTCGGTGTTCCTTAAGGCAAGAGATGAGCAGTGGCTGGAGTTGTCTCATCACTGAAATGTCTATCATTCCCTTGTTGATAGTGTGATGAGAGAGCAAGATGTTTAGCCTTCTGATAGCCAATTCTCTGGACCTCTCTTCGAGATCAGTTTCCGCAAAGACTGTTAAGACTTCAAGTGCTGATAAGGTGGCCAAATGGTTACACCAATCAACCTCAAACCCTGCTATTTGATCATCATCATCATCATCATGACAATACTTGTTGGGTTTTCTAAGCACACGCGAAATCTCACTCTTTACCTTGTCTCTGTCTTTTTTAGATTTGTGGCGGCAAGAAGCAATCTTGAGTGCTAAATCCGCTACAAAAGTGCGTTGGTGCTTATTGTATTTACAAAGGTTGCCGTCTCGTGCAAGGAACATCTTGAGATCTTCAAACACTCTGTCAACAAACTCTCCCTTTCCTTTCTTCACCACATCCTTTGCTGACTTCAGAACACTGCTTCGCACACGCTTGATCAAGCTCGATTTCGTCTTAGAATCCACGACATGAACCCCAATTTTAATAACAGTTTCAAGAGCCAAGACCCAATCTTGGACTCTAACTTTCTCAGGCTTAAGCAACACTCTCTCGGCTTCATTCAAAACTCTCTTCATAACTTGAAGGTTGATGAAGTTATCGGAGACTGCAGGCACATCGAGAAAGACATGAAAAGCTCTGCGAGGAGGAAGCTTGAGGATACAACCATTGAGCTCCTCCCACCCTCCATCATCTAACATAGCAACATTGTAAGCCACGAAAGATACGATTCTCCGGAGGATCTTGCAATCAGATTCTTTCATCTCCAAGCAAGAAATCACGAGAGGCTTGGCGTCACGGAGAAGGGGGAGAGAGAAGTGGAAGTTGCGGTTTCTGAACTCGGTGATAGCTTGCGAGAGAAGATAGATCGTCCTGAACCTGAGGAGGCTACTGGTGGAACAGCTTCGATGCACCTTGAGAAGCTTTAGGGTCAAGAACTCTGGGAAGTTAGCGACGCAGCATTCGTACACTGCACGCGCCGATTTGTATTCGCTGCTTTCTTGATTCTTGAAGAGTGCGTCGATAAGCACCGCTACTTCTTTGCAGGTTTCAGTCTTGAGAAAATCTCTGGCTTTCGACATGTGACTCCATGATTCTTCCATCGCACCAATCCATTGATCCTCCATTGCAGCTTCTTCTTCTTCGGCCATTTTTTTCTTCCCCACAGAGAAAGTTTGGCTTCTTTTGTCTGGAAAATTCTGAACAATGGGCTTAGTGCGGTTCATTTGTTCTGAAAATCAATATAAACCGGACTTAACCACATCTCCCTCCGGTTTAGTTTTACTTGCCTCCAAACATGTGCAAATTCTACTGAAACCAACATTTTTTCAACAATATTTGATTATTTTAAAGAATTTATTTAGTGAAATCTTAATTTATATAGCATAATTAACACTAGGTGTTTGCCCGCTATATCAGGAATATATTGATAACATTAAAAATGAAAAAAAAATATTTTTATTAATATTTTTATTATAACTTAAGATTTTTCTACTTAAGTTCTATTTATATTTTATTAATTGTCGTTTCAATTAAATTATTAGCAACACCTAGACTCGGAGATCCAAACCAAAAATACAGTGAAGTAAAAAATATATATTTGAAAGTGAGTTGTTTGGGGTTTGTTTAGGAGACAAATTTGGGACGCCAGCCAACACATTTCTGGTCCGATTTATCTGTTATATAGAAGTACGACACATTATTTCTGGACATCAAAGTCAACAACGCATACCCGTCTTCTACTCCTCATTGTGTTTATCTCAACTGGTTATACTATTCTTTTTGCTTAAGTATATTGTATTATTTTATAGTCATTTAATCATGTGTTATATTGGTATTGTAAGGTATTGAAACTTTTTGTGCATTTGTTGTCATCTATATACATTGGTATACATGTTCCATGTATCTTTAGTTGTTCAATCAATAGAAAACTTTATGGATCAAACTTGTGTCATGTAATTTAGAAGTAATGCTATCAATATCTTCTGCATTTGGCTATTGCTCTACTTCTTGTGAACATAAAAGTATATGTGCATTATGAAAACCATGTTACTGTAAAACTCAATTGTGTTAAGAACTGTTTAAGAGAAAACGTAACTTATTAATCAAAGTTTTATAGTGACTAAATCTTAAAATAAAAATGATAAATTGTATCAATACACGCTATTACAGTTTTTTTGTTCTATTCCAATTTGGGTTTTCAAATTACAGTAAAATACTGACCTAGTGTTGATAAATACAGTCAATATAGAGATTGAGTTTGTTATGTTTTGGGAAACCGTTCTATCGATTAGTGTTCTCTCTGATGCTACAAAACCGGGATGTTTCATACATAAACATCCATAATCAATGTACTATATAAAATTTTCTTGTTTTGCAAAGATTATCACTTGGTATATTTCACGTATATTTAACAAAACAATAAAATATACATTAATATTTTTTTATTATATAATTATTTGAATGAAATGATTTAACTGAAGATATATATTGGCTATTTAAAAGAATTAAAAAATAACGTTGTGAAACACAAGAATTCTCTTTCCTCTTCTCCGTTCTCTCACTTCTATCTTTCACGAAGAAGGAGATGAGATTCTTTTTTTTTTTTTGGTCAAACTAAGGAGATGAGATTCTTTTTGTAAAATTTTCTTTTTTTGTTGTCAAAATTTCGATCAAGAGATCGAATCACTATTTTCGCTAGGCGAATTTGGTTTTCGTTTTGACGAATTTTGTTGTGATATTTCAAACCAAATCAGCTTTGTTCTTCAAGATCTTTGTTTTTTCTGAGTTGGTTTGAACTAATAAAGTCCCGATCTTTGATCGGTGTTCGAACAAAAGCTCTACTTTCTTTGTTTTCCTTTTCTATTCCAATCTGTTAAGTGTTAAACCAATTCAGCTTATGATCTTGATCGAATTAGCCTATGATTAAGCAATCTAGAATCGACTTTGTCAAAAACCTCAAGAACAAGTACACAAGGCTTTTGTTAACCCTGTGTTCGCTGATCTACTCACAGGGGAGGGAGAAGAACGTCCCTCGGCGTGTTTTATTATCTTCAGTCATTAGAGTTGTGTCAACAATGGCGATCTTACAAGACACACAACAGAGACCTCTCTCTATCTACGTAAACAGAGTAGAGGATCAACTTACGCTGCGTAATTGATCTCTCCTTTCGATCCTCTGTGAAATGCGAAGCTTCCTCAAGCAACGTCACCGTAGTCGTATCCGTTTAGCCAAGATCGCCTCCTCTGAAGATTCCTTTCTTCTTTCTTCCGATGATTGTAACAAACTCTCCAACGGAATACTTATACGTAACAACCCTTTGTTGAATACGTGTCACCTCCAAACCAAAACGCTACCGTTCTGATTTACTAAACCAAGCACACCTGTCTCGGTTTAAATCCTTCAGCTTAACCGGAGTTTAATTGAACCAGACTTTACAATCTCCACCTTTCAATAACCACTCCGAGTAGAACCAAAAACTTCTCAAACTTAAGCTGAAACACCTCACACCTCAGATGCATCTCTTGACAGAACATACCAAAACAGATTCAGATCCAGACCACTGAAAAAAACCTGTACCAATATCTGAACTCCACCTCAAACAACTATCTGCAGAAGACTCAGACCTCAGAACGTACCATCAAGACTTGTTCGCCACGCAACTGAGAAGAACTCCACCTAAAACTAACCAACTTACCAACCAAACCTCATACATCCTGCATATTGAGTAACCCTTCCAGATAAAACACATACGTACACTGATCTTGCAGGCTCATTAGACCAGCTACCCCAGGGTTACTCGAAGCCTCCTTTCTCACATGACATTAGCTAAATCACAGCAGAGATTGAACTTAGGTCCAGGGAGAGCCTTAGTCAAGAAGTCTGCTGGATTCTTACTTGTATGAATCTTGTACAACGAGATAGTTCCTTGTGCCACAATATCCCGGATGAAGTTGTACTTTGTAGCCACATGTTTAGTTTTCTCATGATACACTGCATTTTTCGCCAATGCCAATGCGCTTTGAGAATCACAGTGCATCTTCACTTTTCCTGTATCATACCCCAACTCTGCACATATACCTTTTAACCAGATTGCTTCCTTTGTTGCTGAAGACAGAGCCATGTACTCGGCTTCGGTTGTTGATAACGCCACTACAGATTGCAAGTTTGACCTCCAACACACAGTGTTACCCCACACCTTGAACATATATCCTGTAACTGATCTGCTCCTGTCTAAATCTGTGGCATAGTCAGAGTCACTGTAACCTTCAATGCTGAACTCTCCACTCTTACTGAACGTTAGGCACCTGGTTGTTTCACCTCTCAAATATCTCAAAACCCACTTGACTGCATCCCAATGCTTCCTTCCTGGTTTCGACATGAACCTGCTAATAACTCCTACCGCATGGGCCAGATCAGGCCTAGTACCAATCATGGCGTACATCATACTCCCCACTGCGCTTGCATAGGGCACCTTATCCATACGGGCTCTTTCAAACTCAAGTTCATCCTTTGTTAGACTTTTGAGCTTGAAATGTGTAGCAAGAGGTGTAGTGACAGCGGTGGCATCACTCATACCAAACGTCTTGAGTACTTTCTTGATGTAGTTACCCTGAGACAGAGTTAGAATCCCCTTCTTCCTATCTCGAGTGATGTCCATACCAAGTATGCGAGAAGCAGCTCCCATATCCTTCATTTCAAATTCACTGCCAAGACTATCCTTCATTCCCTTTATCTCAGACCTATCTCTTGATGCAATTAGCATATCATCAACATATAAAAGCAGATATATCGCCTTTTCTGACTTGAGATTTTTCATGTAAACACACGAATCATATTCACTCCTCTGAAACTTCTGCCTTATCATAAACTCATCAAACCTACGGTTCCACTGCCTAGGTGACTGTTTCAGTCCATAAAGAGACTTTCTCAGCAAGCAGACTTTGTTTTCATCTCCAGGTTTTATAAAACCTTCAGGTTGATCCATGATGATCCTCTCTTCTAAGTTTCCGTGTAGAAAAGCTGTCTTAACATCAAGCTGCTCTAACTCATAGTTCTCATTCACCACAATAGATAACATCAGTCTTATTGAGACATGTTTGACCACAGGAGAGAAAATATCGTTGAAATCTATCCCCTCCTTTTGAGAATATCCTTTTGCCACAAGTCTACACTTGTATCTTGCATCTTCCACCCCTGGTATTCCTGGTTTCAGTTTAAACAGCCACTTACAGCCAACAGTTTTCTTTTCTGCAGGTCGCTCAATCAAGTCCCAAGTGTGGTTCCTTCTCAGCGAATCCATTTCCTCTATGGCTGCATTGTTCTAAAGTTTCCACTTCTTGCTCCGCTTAGCTTCCACAAGGGATTTTGGTTCCTCGGTTTCTATATCTTCTGATACAGATAAAGCGTAGGCAACAAGGTTTGCATCCTCATATCTGGAGGGTGGTCTTATGTTTCTCCTTGTTCTATCTCTTGCCAACAAATAGTCACTAACTTCAGTCTGTTCAATATCCTCTGTTTCTTCATGGAACGTGAGACCTTCATCTTCATCACTTTCTGACTGGACTTCAGACCCTTCAGAATGCTCACTTTCAACATCAGTCTGAACCACTGGAGTCTCTCCACCTGAACCTGAAGTCTCCCCGTATTCAAAACCTGAACCACGGATTAACTTTGTACTGAAAGTAACTTGTTTCTTCCCTGATGTCATCTCTTTACTTGTCTCAGACTCAGCTCTGACCTTTTCTGTAGAAACAACAATGTCTTTGTACACTCCGTCTTCCTTGAAAACCACGTTTCTGCTTGTAACACACTTCCTGCTTTCAGACATCCACACACGGTATCCTTTTACCCCAAATGGGTATCCTAAGAAAACTCCCTTCATAGCTCTAGGGCTAGTTTTATCTTGGGTAACATGGACATATGCAGTGCAGCCGAATCTCTTGAGATGTCCAATATCTGGTTTCCTACCAGACCACACTTCTTCAGGTAATCTGAACTCAATAGTGGAGTTTGGAGTTCTGTTTATTAAGTACACTGCTGTAGATGTCGCTTCTGCCCAAAATTCTTTTTCTAAACCAGTTTCAGATAGCATGCTGCGAACTCTGTCCATGATAGTTCGGTTCATTCTCTCAGCAGTCCCGTTTTGTT